GGCAGATGCACCAGCTGTGCCCCCCCCCCCACAGTGCCAACTTGCTGCATGCCCTCTGACCTCCGTTGTTGCTGGAGGACGACTGCCTCCAACTGCCCAGCAGCAGCAGCGTCCTTCACGAGCCTCCTACACAGAGGCCGATGTTGACCACCGCTGGTTACCGGTCATCGGCAAGTCCACTCAGATCCACTTCCTCTCGTACCGCATCAGCTCCATCTCTTCTCCAGCCCGTGCCGTGCCCGTTTAGCACCCCCTCTACCCGGCCCAACAGAAGCTGCTTGGACACGCGGTGGCTGGGCACGCTGCGGGCTCCGTGACCCAGCCAACGCAGCCCTGCCCGCCGGAGGCGCTCACTGACGGGAATGTGTCCAGATGTGGACACCCCAAACACACACGCGCGCACACATGATTTGGGTTTTAGTGCGACGAGTTGATCCCCTGACCTCGCCAGAGATTTCGCTGGGTGAGGAGAGTTGCCTTTTGTGGGGGAGCGTTTGTTACTGGTAGGAACCTCCTGGTTACACCAGCCCACAGGGGATTATTGTGTCCGTCCGTCGTGCAGGGAGGGGCTGGGTGGGGGGGCTGCCAACTGGGAGGTCGCGAGTTCAAAACCAGCGTTTTTAAAAATATTTAATGAAAAGGTTTTTTTGGGGGAAAATGAACACAATCAACAAGTACCGTTCATTATTTTATGCAAACTAGCACTGCAATTAAAGTTGGGAAATTGAGCAAGGCGATCATTTAATAATCAGAGAGAGAGCAGCGTTACTTTTCACAAAATCACACTGGTCCACTGGCTAATCTGGTTATTTCTGACTGAAGGCGTCCCGTGGTCCCGGGTTCGAACCCCCACAGCGGTATTCGTTTTGCACATCTTTTTATTTTGCAATTGCGTCATGGCGTAATCACCTGCGTCATGGCGTCATCATCGGCGTCATGACGTCATCGCGTATACTCGTCACGCGATGACGTCACAAGGCGCAGCTGTCACGGCCGCGTGGTGTCGTCGGTGCACCAGAGATTATGTTGCGTCAACACATTCAGCCGAACATTAAAGACAAATAAACATGCCGGTATTGTGAGTGATGCAGGTGAACCTACAGAAGTGAGGGAAGGGCAAGACACGAAATGAAGGGACAATGATATGCTGAGAGAAGATAGCGAGGTGACACAGGAGGAGACGAGAGAGCAGACATTTTTTGCATTCAATACAAACATTACCGCTAGGGGGCGCTCTTTCGTTGTGAGCCTCAATCAAAGCCTAATTTTACTGCAAGTAAAGGACTCCACCGAGGTTTCGACGTTTAAGCTGCAGTACCAGCAGTTTACCGCAAAATCACAACGATATCAAGCGCAAGCGATTGAAAAAGTGCAACGAAACTGGAAAACGGCACTAAAACTAAAATTTTTACGTCAAAATGTGCTTTTAAGAGCTAATTCAACAATAAAAAACAATCGTTGTGGGTAAAAACAGACTAAAACGAATGACAGAAAAACAAATGCAAATAGAGTACATGGGCAAAACAACATTTATATCGGCTAATAATGAAAACGATTTATGATAAAAACATTTTTTAGCAAAACCTTTATACACAACAATTATAGAGAGCACGTTGAAATGTGACTGGAATGTCAAAATGTTATAAAGTAGTAAGTACCCACAGTGCTCACGTCCTGTATTTTAAACAATCTAAACTCGGGCTGTTGGCGAACAACTCCCATTGGATGGTGTGGCCCACACGCGCTGTGGCAGACAAGGTGAAGCTCAGAGGAACGAAAATCAGAAAACTCCAGATGATGGCTCCCCTAGGTGGGAGACGGTGGTGGCCTTCTTGCAGCCGATCTTGTTACGCGTTTTCGTGTCGCCTTAATCACAACAAATTACCGTCATCTGACGAAAAATGGACAGGTCAATGAGAATTTAGATGGGATCAGCGGCGCTAAATGCAGAAAAACGGCCATCGAAAGGGCCACAAACCGAGACCGGACATGGCATTCCTGTGTACCAACTAAACAACGACCGGCGCTGAAAGACCTAAATGTGACTTTGAGGCCAGAAACCTATCAGGGAAAACAACACTGACGTTGCCTTGCAGGACAAACACGTTAAGGACAGCATGCGGATGGTTAAGTTATAAAATAAATGGTTGTTACATCCTTCGATTTAAAGCTTTCGTGACTGCAGGGATTCATCTTCATGGTTCTTTCGGTAAAGTAACGTAGAAGGGAAGTAATAAAATAATAAAAATAAAACATAATAAAATAAAATAATACAGTAAAATAATATAATTATTTTATTATGTTTTATTATTATTTTATTACTTCCCTTCTACGTGTCTTTACCGAAAGAACCAAGAAGATGTTACATCCTTGTTGTCATGTACCACCCCGAAAGATGGCCCTCCTTTCGCCAAATTCATCATACCCAAAGTCTACCACCAAAAAGTGACGGCGGACCAAACAATAACTTCCGGCAGTGGATGATGCGATGGTCATCAATGAATGAATACAAGCTCCCGAATAAGGAATGGCCATCACCGACCTCTGCCCAGCAGTCACTTCACCCAGCTACCACCACCACCACACAAATGGATGTTACTCGAAAAATGACGAAGCCACAAAGAAACTCGAGGAATGGTTGTCGCACAAGACGCGCACCTCATTCGGAGGCTCAAACACTGCATTCTCCTCCTTGCTTTGACATTCCCCCTCTAAGACGCTGGTCGTTGCCATCGATCGCATCAGAACACCAACAAGGCCGTTAAAGATCGACAAGATATAAGCGCCAACGTTGGCCATGCAACTCACACGATGGACCACAGCAGTAAACCACTGCCAGTCGACGCGCCTTCAATGGAGGAACAGCAGCCCCACGCGAACTGTCTCCTGTAGCCCTGTGGCCACACCAAACCTCGACATTGGCATTTCGCGCCTGTTCAATTATGCGCGTTACCTCCTTGCCAAAGACTTTTATTTGGTAAACTATTAGTCGTGTACTGTACTTCGGCATGTCCTTTAGCTGGAGAAGCCCTATTGTGATTAGCCCTATTGTGATTAGCCTCGTTAGCTGTTTGCAATTTCGCGCAATGGACGATGGGTTAGGAGACGCTGATGGGTCGAGACATCATGCAGGAGCTAGTGGGAATGAGCACCTTCCAGCATATCATGAATACGACACAGTTCTGTGCATGGAAGCCACTTCCGGCAAATTCAAGCAAACTGGAAAATCAGGGTGGGTAATGATGATTGACGGGCAAATAGAACAAACAGGAAACCAGAACATATCTCTGACGATTGTGTTTTTGTCCTCTTCGTTCGGAACATCTGCTTTTGCCGTGGGCAAAGCACCGCGTGATATCCTTGCTGCTTTCCAGCCAGCGCCACGGTTCTATTTGTGTCGTAATAAATTGAGTCGAGCGAGCTGGATCTGAGCCCATTTTTTTCTTCTGAGCAGCCGCGTTCTTATCCGAAGCGCGCCGTGTTTTGTGGTTCAATTTGTCCTGAAGATGTTTGAACAACACGGGATAAAAGAAATTGTCTTACATTCCGTGTGCTCTTCAACCACTCGTCCACCAAGCCTGATTAAGCTAGTGCGGAGCCTGTAGCATGTTATAAAGGGGCCCTAAATTAACAAAACACAAATATTAAAGCACACAAATGTTTAACTTGCATAGTAAATTATTTTTTCATAAGCTATACAGCCGGATAATATGATAAATCGCTAACCTTAAACACCCAGTCGTTCATAAAAGTTGAAGGCGGTATAGTACTATAGTATTAGAGCAAGTGCAGAATCACTGAACCGGAATTGATGTCTTGAAAGTAGTTAGCGCGGGGCCCTTGAAAATGCGGGGCCCGTAGTTACTACATGTGTAGCTACTTTTACTACGAGAATAATCCGGCACTGCTCTATAGTATTCAAGTTAGATTCAGTCTAGATATTGCTCCCAAAAAACTGCTTATCAGCCTGTAACTTCTCACGGCTACGCAAACGCCTGCCACATTCTCTGCCACTCTGTCCTTACCTTAGTTGGTCTTGTCCAGCCCGTGGCTTACGAACATCTCTGATTTAATCTCGCTTCCATCTCTCGCCGCACGCGTCTTCGCTCGCATCTTTGCCGCTATCTGCCCCGGAGTTGTTGTCCCAAGTGAGAAAACTCGAAAGAGCGAGATGCCACCTGGTGGCCTGGAAGGGTGCCTGCATGTTGTTTACACGATGTTTACGAAATGTTGATGTTTTTCAAGGTATTTTGCAACGGTGGCACAGTCGGGTTTTTTTTACAATCGGGTTTAATTGTCTTTTTATATTAAACCCGATCATCTGAGATTGGGAGAAATCCGGTTTAATTGGTTCTAATTGCAGAACCGCACTTCTCAACGATGGGCTTCATCCATTCCAAGCTAAGGAACTCACTGGCGCCCACGATTGTGGAGGAGAAGCTCGTGTTCATCACGACCAACCTGCCCGCCGCATTCTACGACTACCCCGTGCCCGACGCCCCCGAGTACGATAGCAGCACCGACGAGGAAGCAGCCTAAGCCTTGGATCAGAGTTTCGTATTCATTAAACCAGGTTTTAATTCCCCGAAATCGGGTTTAATTGTATTAATGAAAAAACCCGATGCCTGCCGCTGGAAAAATCGGGTTTTTTCCACCCATGGTATTTTGGTCCCAAGGACATGATGATGCAGAACCATTAAATATGATTGAGACAGTGTTTGGTATTAAGTTATGCACTGCCTGGGACTGATTTTGTATCTGTTTTCACATTGACAATCGTGTTTTTTTCACTCGTGGGGAATTTGGCCCAATATAAATACGCATGTGACCACTGCATTTAGCTTAATAGTGTGCAGACATTTCGAAGCTCTAACTTAACTGTTGAGTTATCAGTGTAACAACGCAGATGTCCTGTTAATCTATTATTCATATGGACCCGTATGTGCAATACGCATACATTATGGTGCTTTGCATAAAAAACGACAGTGCACTCAAGCAAGTATGTTCTCTTGTTTATTTTGTCACCTCTGATTAATATTGGTAACATTGCATAGAAGCTATTTTGTATTTACACACTTATGGGTTACAAGACGACTCTTTAACAGACTCGGTTACATCAGGTGACCGTTGTGAATTGACCAATTACACTTGGTTATACACCCCAAGGTGGCAGTGGAGCAGTTATATTGCAGCAATGGGCAGTTTTCATTTTGGGTGGAGAAACCCCGCCACTATAAATATGTTATTTATTAGAAAACATACGTGTGTGTGTTTGGTTACACAACTAGCACGTTTTAAAATAAACACACAGCGGTTGTTTAATTGCGAGCGTACTGTGTGTCATGCGTTTCGCCCACCTTAGATTACAACATATTACAGGGCGGTTTCTTGGTCGTAAAAAAAAACATAACAAAGCTTGCAGTGTAAATTGTTCCAGAGTGAGTACAATGAACAGTTCAGTTGAAATGAATCGTTGCTCTACAGCTGTTTTAAGGGGGTCTATCTGCAGTGACGCAGTAAAATCTGTATACAGTATAAGCCCACCTAATTCGGTAACATAAACCAGTTCTGATATAACCAGCACGTGCTTACAAGGCAGTGATGATGGCGGGGGAGGGAGAGAAACGGGGAAACTTCTGATAAAAAGACACTGCTTCGGACATAAACAAGCATTGTCGTCACATCCCACTCAATCTTGATTTGAAGCTTTCGTGACTGCAGGAATCCATACTCTTTGGTTCTTTCAGTAAAGTCACGTAGGTAGAAAATTAATAGATCACGACGTGTCTCACCTGATGACGGTTGCGTGTGTTGCGATCGAAACGTCGTGATCTATACATTTTCTACCTACGTGAATTTACCGAAATAACCAAAGAATATCTCACTTATTAATTATTTCACGGAACGCTGTTCGACTGGTCTCAGAGCAGGCATGGCAGTGAACGGCGCCGCCTATCCATGACCATCCTTTATAATTGTGGCCGATGTTTGCTATGATCCTACGAGCAAATTATGGAGCACAAACTCAGCGCGATGGATGTGGCGCGTGCCAAAATAATTCCGGGAGCGTTGTTCAGGGCTGTTCATGCTGAAATGAAGCGCTGTGATGCTCTTTCTATTCTGCTTTTTGTGTCGAGTTTGTTGTCTTTCCCCGCACTTCAGATTAGCACGGTTGGCTACGTACGGCGCGAAAGAAGTTCAACATACATACATAAGCACAGCTTGCCTTTGTCCGCCTTCTACTGCATGGTAGAGAAAACACAACTGCTGGTGCTGTACTGTGGTCACATGTAGTCATCATCCATTGTCGCCAGGGAGCTGGGAGCCCTGGAATTGGAGAGGTGGGGCGAGTTGTAACCCTGCAAAAGAAATGGAAAATTACAAATAAATGACGGGTGTTTTTTTCCTTTATAGGAAATTGTACCGTTTCTGCAGGAACGACGTGGTTTCACTTTGTGCAAGTGGCAGCAACAACAACTCCACGTCACCCGAGAACGGCTTGATTGTCTGCTTTGTTTTTTGCACTGGGCACACATCCTGGTCATACACATGGCTGAGTTAATGCCAGCAGAGCTTAGTCAAAGAGGCACACCTAAATCGTAAAGCAAACCGTGCCCAACTGATAAATAAGTCAACTGTAGCCACACGCAAAGTCAACTATCGCCGACGCGTAGCCAGATTCAAGTTTGAGTGTCACGTGAGCTAACGTGTTTCGAAGGTTATTTATTTTAACATGGATACTGCTTCATAAAGAAATAAACACTTTAGAAGTGGGAAGGAGGTTGGGAGATATGGGTGGTTATGCAAGGCCGCAATTATAATATATATGCTCAAAATGTCCCCCCCAATATATTGCTATAAAATAGATTTCTGTTTATATGATTGTGGTTATGGTTGTACTTTATTAATCCCTAATCTCTGCCATTACCCTAACCCTAATTGAAACAAGAAAAGGTAAAAAAGAAAAAACAGAGAAATGTAATACAATACACTATTAGACATTATTGTAAAAAATAAATATTAAGAGTCCATCTTATGTGTTAGTGAATTTTAAAATATTTTAGGCAGGAAATTATTTTCTAATTTCGATTTTTTTTTCTGGGGGGGGGGGGGGGGGGACCCCCAGACACCCTGGAAGATTTGGTCGCCCCAATGTTGACTCCATGGCTACGGCCTTGCGGTTATGTGTACCGCAGTTATATTTGGACTTTACTAAATCGAATTCCATTACAATGGACGGCCATCCAAAGCTGAGAAATAATGGTAGAGACAGCAGTACACAAACCAGATGTAATAGCTGGACTGGGATAATGATAAGAACTAGGAAATGTGTTGTGTTGGAGGGCCCTAAGCTGTTGACATTGCCTTCGTATTTGAATTCTCAAAAGATGACATTCACAGCGGCTGTAACTCTTGCTTTTATACACACGTACTGGCAGTGCCGGACATTTAACCATTGTTTAAATAGGTTTGCTAAATTACACTCATTGACATTAATTTACTTCGTTTAAAGTTGTGCACGTAAGTAAATGCACCACAGACGCAAAAAAACGAAGCATCGAAGCAAAGCACCGTGTGAACATTTCAAAAAAACAAACCCGGGCCCACACAGAGAAGAGGCTAAAAAAGAACAAGCGGCGTTTGAAAAAGAGAAAAAAGTAGAGTCAAGAATAAAAGGTACCAGAAATGAAGCACGACAAGAGAAGAGACAGCAAGGGGGTGGACATTTAGTCATCGGCATCTTTCCCAGCGTGGTCTACCGAGCTGGAGAAGCCCTTGGCGGCCGAGCCGCGGTTTTTGGTGCGGATCTTGACCAGCGCCGACTCGGCAATGTCGGCTCTCTCCTCCGCCTCGTCGAGCTCGTGGATGGTCTTGCGGTATTTGGACAGGTTCGTGTTGGCCTCTTCCTCCTGCGGACACCGGGTGGTTACGTTCACCTCTCCCCCTACACGCACCCAGTTCTCTCGCGATGCACACGGTCAAATCATTCGTTCGTAGGCTTTGTTTAAAGCCGGATAAGAGTCCAATAGTTTGGGAAACTGGGATGGTGGCGAACTGTTAACTACCTCGCCTGGTATACAGGAGGTCGTGGGTTTTGATCCCGACCCTGACACCTGTATATTTGAAGTTTGCATGTTCTCTCTCCTTGTGGTCGCGTGGATTTTTCTATAGGCCTTGCGGTTTTTACCTCCACATTTAGAATCAACATCATGCATTTAGAGTATTTGGCTGCTATAAATTTCCACATGCTGACAAGCCGCTTCGTCGAGTTATAGTTTGTGATACCACTGGGTGGACAGACAGGGAAATGAGCTATATAGCTCAGTGGGCCTTATCTAGTAAAATAAAAAAAAGTAAAAAATATATTTTTTTACTTGCATGCAATCCAGTGTTGCCGGTTTGATCTCCCAGCGTGGCAGATAAAACGGTGGTGCACATTTCTTAAATCCTCCCTGTCTGTCCACCCAGTGGTATAAATGAGTATTCCACAATGAGTCGGGAGGTTGTGTGTGGGTACTGCCACCTCTTCCAAGATGTCTGGTCAACAGTCGAGGCCCTGTCACCAGCAGTGGCATGAGAAAGGCGATGTTTTAACGCTGCACCTTTTACCGTCATATTTAGTTTCATTAAATACAGTTGAGTGCTTGATTTTGGCAATGACGGAGTGAAATTCCTGCATCTCAGCTTTTTGTTGTCGTTATTGCAAGGCTTCACTTATTTTCTACATTATCTTTTCAAAAAATAATACTTGAAATAATCTCCCATACAGCCTTTCACGCTGCTGAGGAAAAGCATTGTTTGCAAGCCCCGATTAAGCACGGCCCAGCCACTGAAGATGTCGGTGTAGGGGTAACAACACATGTTGCTTCCCAGTGCCAATGTTGACGTTTCTTATCAATACTTCCCAGGGACTCATTTTAGGCCAGGGTCAGATTCCATTTTTGTCAAGCAAGGGGTCAGATACCAATGTCCACCGATTTCGAGCACATGCCAAATAATATTTAGCTCCTTACATTCCTGTCTGGTAACATTTCTCAGCCTGATAAGATAATTCAACATAGCACGCTAACGACTTCGACAATTACCGTGCAAACGTTCAGGCACTCTGTTTAAAAATACCCTCCCTGTGAAACGGCATCTCGCAACGTTCCCGCATTATTCACGCGATGTTAGCCGCTGAGGTTCCTTTCTCGCATGTTTGTACAGACGTACAGCAGGAGGCCCGTGTTGCTTCAAGTGACTCATGCATTGAGATTATTTCGGTTATTTTGCCGCAATTAATTTCCACGTGACGAGCCACTTTGTTGAGCAATCATTGGTGGCCAGGTCGCTTCTGAAAAACAAGTTCATAATACCTCGGTGGGCTTTGCCTGGTAGGATGGGGATGGTTTCGTTTCATTTGCATGTGTGTCGGGTGATTTGTTTACCTTTCTTGTATCGTGTTTTTGTGTTGCCCCTAATGGACATCTGTGAAAAAGAGCTTTATAGCTGATCGGATTCCTCGAGTATACATATTCTGAGTCTGACTCCAGGGTGCGCTGCAATGCGCTCTCTGTAAGCACCGCGAATACCTGCGCAGTCGTATCGACATCTTCTTCGGATTATATAAAGCTCTGGAAAGTAAGAAGCACCCCCAAACCTTGCCTGGTGTCAATAACGGTATTTAAGAAACACGAAGATCCCCCGTTTAGCCTTAACAGACTGTTGGGACAAGTGCTGTTAGCGAGCACATATGCAGACCGGCACGGCACACAATGGGGTGGGTGACCAGCACCACGCTCGGCCGCATTTGTCTCCCCCAGTGGCAATGTTTTTACACAACGCAACAGGTACTAATTTGAGGCTGAGTCGACCTAGGGGAGGCCCAGGACCGGTTCAGATGATTGTCACCGGTATTGGCCGTGAGAGGAAATCAAACCCAGGTGGCCATTTTCGTAGCGCAGCAGCGATAACCGCTCCAATTGCCAATAACGGTCATACCAATCTGGTCACACACACACACCATTCTGGTCACACACACACACATATTCACTTTAAGATGTTTTTTGTTCATGTTTTTTGTTTTTTGTTTGTTGCGGTTGCACCCGATTCAAGAGCTGAATGGCTCACAGGGCTATACCTAATAAATGAACTTGAACTTGAATACCCGCCAGTTGCCACTAAGTGACGTTGACGTCACCACGGCGCCTGTGCCAGGCCAGGTGCACTTCGAGGCCACGTGAAGTGTCGAAGGCTCCCCGCTGACAGGAGGTCACGGGATAGACCCTGGTGCCATGGGTTGACCGAGATGACTGGCGGATGCACCGGCTGTGCCCCCTACTGTGCCCCCTACTGTGCCCCCTACTGTGCCCCCTACTGTGCCAACCACTGCTTATAAATCCGGAGAACGGGGGTTATGGGATGCGGTGATAAAGCGGCAAAGCATTAGGGAGCGACTCCTCACCACGAGCTCAAGCTGCCGCTTGTAGGTCTTGATCTTGCTCTGCAGCTTCTCCACCAGCTCCTGCATGCGCGCCTGGTTCTTCTGATCCTCGTCCGTTTGGAAGATGAGCTCCTTCATGCGCCGCTCGTTCTTGCGCAGGCTCTTGATGGTCTCGGCGTGCCGTTTCTGTTCGGCGTCGAGCTCGCCCTCCAGCTCGCGCACCTTCCCACAGACGCCGAAGGAGACCACACACACAGCGCGCCGGGCGGGCGGAGAAAATGTGGCCTTGGCCTAAGTCCGAAATGGCACCGCTAATCCTTTATTTACCCAGAGGGAAACCTCGGACAAGGGAAAATTTACGATTATGAACTGACAACGCCGCTCAGAGCTCAACTCGAGTAGCTGTTTTGTTCCGTAACGTTTGTTTTCTTTTGCTGTATGGCGACAGAAACACGTCCTCTTCCAACTTGGAATATATTTTAACTATTTATTTAAACACAAAGGTTAAACGTGCCTTCCAATTTCACTATGGATGAATGAATAAATGCAAGGCAAATACATAACAACAGCCGTGATGCCTCGGAGGAGGATACTCTGATTTTAATTAAACTGGAATGTTAGCTCTCGGTTAGGATATGCTGCCTAGTGTTTCTACCATAATGGGAAAACACACAATGGACATTTTCCTAGCAATGACATCCAACCCAACCCAAACATATTAACAGTAAATATTGAATATTTCTGATGACCGCTTCTAAAAATCAAGCAAGTCGAAGATACATTTTACACAGCTTTGATTCAACACTGATACGAGGTTGTCCAGTATTTGGGTAGAGCAGTAAGTGATTATTAAATCTATCTGAGTGGAGTTGTCAGTGTTAGCACCTCATCTGGGTTTTCTCCGGTTATTCACATTTCCTCCCACGGCTAAAACAATCATGGATGGAGTTAGCCAAACAACTTTAATGCAAGACGCTTCTTAAAAATAATATTGATATTCAATGCAGCTTTCTTGGGGAAGGGTATTAATAACATCACTATTCTGAAAAAAACAAGTTGGTAAAATGCAAAGTATCAGTTTCTATTTTGATACTGGCACAAAGGTTCCATAGATATCAGTTGCTATTTGTTCGTAAACATTAGATTAAGTCTATTTTTACATTTTGTTGTGGAATACTTGAACCGATGCTATCACGAAACAGGCGTTTGCTTGACGATGCATGTTGCCAGCAGACATTCATCATCACTATGTGAGAAAAACAGGCTTATTAAACACACAGCTAGCAATTTAGCTGAATGTGTTTGGACCCTTCTGGCAACCCGACTTTGGGCCTGAGACACATCCATCTGCGCGCAGCTGACACCCAAGGCAGATTTACAGGAAACAGCGGGTCCTGAAACAGCTTTTAACATGTGCAGCAAATTAACTGCTAAATTTACAAGAATGCGCTCAAAATGAGCCGGACTACGTCTGGGAAAGTTTAAACGTCACGCTATACCTGCACAAAATATTGCACGATCTTTTTAATCAAAAAACGATCTTAACATTTTCCAGAATTTGAATTAAAACTGCGTTAAGTAATCAACCAAAACATTACTGCAGATTACAGACGCCAGTGACTTCATTGTTGACCGCTTACACATTTTCTGACTTCACCGTGGCATGTTTATTTGTACATTTTCTTATTTTTTTACTCCATAAAACATACTAAAAGGAGTGCAATACATCAATCCGTCTCCAATGGGAGTGCTTTTAAAAAAAAAGATTTGGCCTCGGGCATTCACGCACATAATGAGCAAATGCTCCGAAGTGGCTTTCAATCCTCCATTCATTTAGGGCCACTTTTTTCTATGCACGGTGCATTACCTGTACCCCCCCTCCCCCCCACACACACACACTCACTACTCCCCGAGAGCATTGTTCAGATTCCACTTATTACAGCCCTAACGTTAATTTACTCTCGTTACTGTGCGTCCATAGAGAACCACGGCTGCAACAATTCACTGCACGTTTCACGAACAACTCGTGGATATTATCTTTGCCCGACGAAAAGGCCTGCGCTACCAACACGGGCAATGCCTCACGCCTCGAATAAATCACAAGGCTTTTAGTTTTCTCGCTTGAAAAACGTTAACGGCTTGAACGCATTAAGGAAAACACTGCACACTGATACAAACGAACCTGGTTATGTACACGCTAATTGATATCTAGGAGCCTTCATCAAGATTTATACGTTCTTAACGGTGGCTATTGATCTAAGTTGTATTTCTTTATTTTTAGGAATATTAGCGCTGAGATCCATGACCGGGGTGGTATGTGGGTGGCAGAACGCAACTTGAGTGCGACGCGTGAAACCCTCAAAGCTCTGGGATGCGTGGTGATGTCGCCAGCTCGCACTTTCTCGCCCCCACAGCCATCCAGCCAGCCAGCCAGCAAAACGTTGTTATAATATACTATGACCAAGAACAAAACATGTAAAATGTAAAGTTGCAGCCCGACAATTGCTCACTCGCTCCGTTGCTGACGAAAGGACGTCCATTAGAGGAAGTGCTAGAGAGCCCCTCTGGGGGGTATTTGGCCTACTCTTCCACACTGCCCCATCTATACTGCTGGTTGGACAGAGGCGGTGGGGGTGGGAGGGTCGGCGGAGATTCAAGAAACTTGCACCGTGACGCGAGATGGAATCGAACCGACGACCTCGGAATTGCAGGTCCACTGTGCTGACCAATGCACATCGCTCTAGCGCCCTAACCCCGATATAACGAGCGGCGATGCCAATTACATCTTGCATGCCGATGTTTTTTTTTGCATTCACTGCATTACATTGTCACGAGGACATTGGTGGCCTGAACACGTTAAAATCACACTGGAGGAATGCGCAATCTTTTATTTGAGAAATTGTGTAATTAAGACACACGTGATTGCAGCACAACATGTGCCTCATTACAGCAGTCACACTGCAAGCAGCCAGGCTGCGTGGGGTCAGAGCGGTGGTGTAGCGGTTAGCGCGCTGCACTGCGCTACAAACCTGACGACCCGAGTTAGATTCCTGCTCACGGCCAACACCAGGGACGATTATCTGAATTGATCCTGGGCCTCCCCTAGGTCGACTCAGCCGTAAATGAGTACCTGGTGCGATGTCTAAACATCGCCACTAGGAAGACAAAGGCGTCCGGGCGTGGTGCTGGCCACCCTCCCTCTTGTGTGCCGTGCTGGCTTTCATAGGCGCTTGCCAACAGCACTTGCCCCGACAGTCTGCTAAGGCTACACGGGGGATCTTTGTCTTTGTTTTTTTTGTGACAAGTGAATTTACCCTCATTGACAATGCCAACTCCCACGTGTGCGGTAATTGGCTGTGCAACATTCTCATGGTTATGTGTGGTGGAATATATTTGTTGGGAAAGTAATTTATTTCATGAACCCGCTATACTGGGGATGCTGCCGCAGTGCAATGGCGAGCGTGACGGGGCTTGCGATCCAGAGGTCGACATTTTAGTTCGTTCTCTCTCCCACATGGCACTTGAGACAGTGGGGCAAGTTGATTAAATCCCTTAAATCCCACCGCCTCTGTACAACGCAGCCGCATGAATGGATACACCTCGGTCGATCGGAAAGTCGCACGCGGTGGGGTAAAGTTTGGGTACTTCCATCTCTTCGAAGATGTCTGACCGGCTAGCGAAGGCTCGTTTGTTATCCTTCCCCCAGCACCTCCAGTTAGCACGGTTGGCTATGTACGGTGAGAAAGAAGTTCAACGTACATACACACATTACGAGGCTCTTCCGCCATCAGTGGCGTGAGCCAGGCATTTCAGCGCTGGTACCTTGATCTCCAGTTTCTGGATGATCTTCTTGCCGCCTTTCATTGCGATCTGGTCGGCCTCGTCCAGCTTGGCGGAGAGGTCCTTCACCGTCTGCTCCAGGTTTTTCTTGATCTTCTCCAGGTGTGTGCCATGGTCCTGCTGTTGCCTCAGCTCTTCCGCCATGCGGGCAGCCTGGCGCGATGTCGGCGACGTTCGCGAGAGCGAAGAGAGTCAACAAGGGCGCGTTTGTCAATGTTTATTTCAGGGGCACGCCCGGTGTGATGTGGGGCGCACAATATGGCCGCAACGTAATTCAGCTGCCAATCGTAATTCAAGTGGCGTTGCGTTCTCTCCAAAAACACGGCACACTCTGTTGTAGTTGAGTGGTCGTGTAAGATTAGGGCTCTCACCGGGTTCACGTGCTGGGGTTTAATTTAGGGTCAAAAAGCTGCGATGACATGCTTCATATTTAAACAAAAATAATCTGCATTGTTGGTATTTAATGTCAAGCTTTGCGACCCACCCAGCCACATGAAACTGACTAGATTATCAAGACCCATGTGGGAATTTCTGATCAGTGATTTTAATTAGTTTTAACCATCAAAAATTCTGGAGCTCTACTTACATCAATGATGGCCTTTTTAGCCTTCTCATCTGTGGACCGGTACTCAGAAATCATCTCCTCATAGGTCATCGTGAGGTGCTGCAAGTCGCTCTCCAGTTTCTTACGTTGACCATTCAAGTGCTGGTTCTAAAAAAAAGAAGGCAAGAAGTATTATTAAACATTATTCCGTAGAATATTTCTCGCAAAAATAATGATTAACGTTTAATTATAATCGCAAAAATATCTTCATGGGTGTCGAAGGGCAGTCTTCCTAACTCCATTAAATTAACTTTTTGAGTAAGAACTCACCCCCCGCTAAAGAGGGCATCGCAGTACTTTACAGAATGAATTAAACTAATATAAAATCAAGGCATTTAAAAATAAAAAAATTAGGGGCCATACTCAAGGAAAAGCTAGAAGGAAAAAATAAGTTTTGCAGTTTCCTGAAACATTCTCGGTCGAGTTTGCAGGGCCTGCCCTGAGGAGTGAGTGCAAGGTAAATCTACCAGACTTCAGATATAGGTGATAAAACATTGTTAAGTGCTTCAGATAATTAGTATGCCCCTCTCTCTCTTTGATCCACGCATTGTTAGAATTTACATTCTCGTTTACAGTTTTTTTGACATTGGAGAGGAGCATTCTCAAACCAGTTAGTCATTGACTCGTGCTGGGGCAGCAGAATTGAGGCAACAGTGGAAATTCCATATTTCCATGGTGGGCCCAGTCTGTGCAAAAGATGGCCTCTGTTGACCACTCACTAATTGATACAAAATTTTATAACCCCAGAGAGCCAATGGGCTGAATAGTCCCCCATTGGGAGTTCAACTTGCAACGTCCCCGTACTACCTGCCGTGACACTTCCTTCAGAAACACGATCATTAATTAAAACACGTGGAACTAAAGCGAAATGCATATTGGGCCTACGAAAAATACCCGTCGTTACTCTTCGCCGTACAAAATTAATGGCCAACGAATACTTGTTCGTGGCCCGATACTTCGGCGAACGAAATTAACACCGCAACCACGACGGGGGCCTTCACGACTACCGCCGCCACCGCCGCCACCGCCGCCACCGCCGCCACCGCAACAGCGAGGGCTAACCACGGCACCGCGCACCTGCGTGTCGGCCTCCGAGTGCCTCTCGCGCAGCTCAGCCAGGTCCTGCTCGACGATCTTGCGCGCGCGCTCTGACACCTCGAGGTTCCCGCGCAGCTCCTCCAGCTCGGCGAGCACCAGCGCGAGGCGCCGCTCGGCCACGCTCTGCTGCTCACGCAGCTCGTCCCGCTCGCGACCATCCTCGTCCATCTGCAGCTGCGCGTCCTGCGGGGGCGGCGGCGACGCAGCCGCATGGCGACAACGGTCACTCCGGGCCATGTGGCCACATTCAGATGTAAACTGGTGTTCGCCTCTTCTTGGTTCTTTCGGTAAAGTCACGTAGAAGGGAAATAATAAAATAATACAAATAAAACATAATAATATAATTCTCACGACGTTTCGGCCACCTGAGGACGGCTGCTTGCGTTGTGGCCGAAACATCGTGAGGATTATTTAATGTTTTATTTGTATTATTTTATTATTTCCCTTCAACGTGACTTTACCGAAAGAACCAAGAAGATGAATCCCTGCAGTCACGAAAGCTTTAAATCGAAATTTAGTGTTCGCCTTTTGGCGTCCTCTGGTCTAACACTGTTTTTGAGACTAGGCTCTCTAAACGAAGCTGTCTCTGGTGTGGACCAATCAGTTTCAAAGACAATGCATCATATACTACCAGAGCATGTTTTTTTTTGCATGTTCACCAAAAGTATATCTGGTTAATGCAGACAAGATTCCTTGCAAAAGGTTTAAGTTTGGTGTTTGAACATCTTAACACTTGTTTTATTGTGAGAAAGGGTAAAACCTATTCTTATATATTTTTATATTTCATGTTACCAAGTAAGGCCCACTGAACTATGTAGCTCTTTTTTCAGAAGCGATCTGGCCACAAATGATAGCTCAACGTAGTGGCTTATCACGTGGAAATGTATAGCAGCCAAATACTCTGAACGTACGTTGATTTTAAATGTAGAGGGAAAAACTGGAAGACCCGGAGAAAATTCCACGCAACCGCAGGGGAGAGAGAACATGCAAAATCCAAATATACAGGTGTCAGGGTTGGGATGGGGATCAAACCCACGACCTCCTGTATACTCGGCGCAACACAAATCCCACGCTGCAGACAAGCAGGTCTTGCCCACTGTGCGGCCGATGTGTCCACTATTAGAGCTGGTCTCCCATCCCACCGGCTCGCGGAGAAATGCTGCGTTGCTCCCTGTTCTCCGCAGTCATCGTCGTTCGCGACGGACAGCCGGAGAAGAATGGTTAGCACACTGGACTTGCGACCTGGACGTCACCAGTTTGATGTTCGATTCTATTTGTTGACCTTCGGTTCACGTGCTGCCAAAACCGCTCTGAAGAAGGTCACTGCCCAACAACATTCGGCTTCACGCGAACGCCGACAGAGGTAGATTGTTTTCAAAATAACAGTTTGAATGATACTTACATCATACCCTGTAGAGGAAGCTCTCTGCAGCTTTCTCGAGTGGAGGCCTTGAATTGGATTCCTGGTCACGACCACCATCAGTGGCGCGTGATATCTGAACCAGTGCCGTCCACCGTCGCCCCCCCTACGTTGCCTCGCCCGCACTAACCCGCACGGTGACGTATGATCAAACAACCCCCAAGGCCGACAGCTTGTGGAGGGTTTCACACTCTCTGGCGTGACAACACTCCCACTGGGGGCTTCACAACACTCTGCCGTTGCATCGTCAGCGGCATGAGCGAGAGTTTGCAAGCGCTCTACCTTTACCTGTTCTTCTTGTCTAAATGCTGTGTTTCTCGGTTATCTGTGGGTGGACTATCTGGATTGTGGATTAGCCGTGGTTGAGAATAAAAATGAACAGAAATAGTAAGTATGGTGTTCCATGCTAATCTGAGCCTTTAATTCGTGACGCCTCTATTATTAGCTGCTGTGGTGCCCAATTACTTTGAGAAACAAGACATCTGTGTGCAGAAATACCCCAAGATGAATTGGCCAATCCAATCACATTCATCTTTAAAAACAAGTGTCAAAACCAGTAATAGTTTGAAATTATGCAGATTCAAAACAGCTAAAACCGTGAAAGAGAATATCTAATGCTAAAATGTATTACTATTATCACCAGAATATTATTCAAATAAATGTCTATTTTTTGGCCAAGGCTATGTATGCATTTCAATGTACAACCAGGCACGGGATAGCAATTATTTTTCAAGCAGTCGCATTCAGCTTATCTGCGCGTCGTCCTTGCATTTCCAACATCGGGAGAAACATCCACACATTTCTCCCGCTTTGAGAAAGTAACATTTCCCACATTGAGAACCACCGACTCACTGACGTCATGTCTGCTCTCTTCGTGGCCCTCCTGTCAATGGCATCCTTTGGTAATCGCTATAATTGAGCGTGGAGACAGAAGGAGGTGCTCCGTAGTGGGAAAAAATTGGGAAGCCGGGAGGGAAATGCAATTATCTGTTTAACATGGACGTTTATTTTCTTAAATGAAATGCACTATCGCGTACATTTATGAATTGTACGGCGTTGAGCTGTCAACGAGGAGAGATGGATCCAACAGAACAATGATACTAAATTCAGGAACTGTCTCCAACCGAAGATGAAATTCAACAGTCACAATAAAAATGTATGGAAGCTATAAACTAATTATTTATTATTATTTAAACGTTAATGACATAAATCCGAGTCAAATGTCTCTCAGACACAAAAGGCAGCAGGAAGCAATGATGGCTAGACAGTACGATACTGTACTGATGAGTTACAATAAAAATACATCTGGGGTACAGTAGCCTTGTTGGCGGTCACTGCATCGCGCGCTTTCAGATGCGCTTCTGTGGCCGTCTGGAACGCTCTTCCTTCCAATAATAGGAAGCTACCGGAGCAATGCACTTTTTAATCATCTCGATTGAAAACGTATTTCTTTAGAAGTGCTTTTTATGTTTAGCTGGTTGTCCTTCCTCCGCACCTCCGATTAGCACGATGTGTTACATACGGTGCGAAAAAAGTTGAACGTACAGACACACAAGGCCCTTTCGCCACGGCCTCCACTCTATTTAGCCGGGTGACCACGACAATGCTGGGCGCGGGATACACGTGCCAACATTAGCGATGTCACCTTGGCACGCAGAGCATTTTGCACTACCGATCGATCAATTGATAGCGTTGATAGCGTCGCCACCACCCATTGACGGGGGGGGGGGGGCGAGCCAGGGGGCAGGTGACGTCGTCACCCCGAAGAGGGAGGGGGCCGTCGGGCTGCGGGGTCAACGCACCTTGACCTGCTGCTGCAGCTTCTTGACGAGCTTGCCGGCCTCCGCGTTGGTGCGGCTCGCGTGGTCCAGCTGCAGCTCCGCCTCGTTGAGGTCGTTCTCCATCTTCTTCTTGTGCCTCAGGGCCTCGGCGCGCCCCTTGGCCTCGGCCTCCAAGCTCATTTGCATGGACTCCATGCTGCGCTGGTGGTTCTTTCTGCAGGAGTGCCCCCCCCCCCCCCCGAGGCACACAGCGAGCGTTCATAACGTGCGGCGCGGCGGGGTGGTGCCCGGGGCCATGAAGGACTTTTGCTTTAATAACACGAAGTCGGCTTTCGCAACCAAGATAATCCGTAATAGAGGTTTTTTTTTGGGTTAGACTTTGATTTTGTTCGTCGTGAGAGCACGGCTTTTCTGAGTGCTTTTGGAGGGCGATGATATTCTCGCAAAGCTGGGGTTGCTACCTGTCCTGGTTTTGGGTTTTGTGAGGACATGGCTGTCCTAGGGGATCTGTCCCCCACTGCTCCGCACGGCTTTGATCTGCCAAGAAAACTATGGTGCTCCATCAACCGCTTCAGAACAGCGACTGGTCGCTGTTCTATTATTTAAAATAATAAAAATAAAACATAATATTTAACGTTTCATTTTATTATTTTATTATTTCCCTTCTACGTGACTTTAGCGAAAGAACCAAGAAGATGAATCCCTGCAGTCTCGAAAGCTTTAAATCGAAATCTATGGGAGACTTTAACATTGAAGTCTATGGGAGACATCTTCTTGGCTCTTTCGGTAAAGTCACGTAGAAGGGAAATAATAAAATAATAAAAATAAAACAAATTAACGTCGTGAGAATTGTATCTTATTATGTTGAATTTTTATTATTTTATTATTTCCCTTCTACGTGACTTTACCGAAAGAACCAAGAAGATGAATCCCTGCAGTCACGAAAGCTTTAGATCGAAATTTATATATAATATGTTCGCCGAGGTTTTTGTCTCAAAATATTCTCTAGGATTTAAAAGAATATTTCGGTGAAAAAATTACATTGATAGGCGCACAAATTGGAAAGTTGAATCAGTTTTAAATTAACCGTGTCAGTCTACTCTATTTATTACCCTCACCCCCTCAGTGTTGCTATTATGTCGTCCAAACTTCAATCTTAATTCTGGAGCTTTCGTGACTGCAGGAATTATTCTTTGGTTCTTTCGGTTAAGTCACGTCTAAAGATAAAATAATAAATTAAAATAATAGCATATTACGACGTTTCGATTGCAACACAAGCAATCATCATCAGAAGAATCGTCCAAACTGTTTCCGCCGCTGCAGCTCGCCGTTTGTTACACAGGAAATCCCTTTGTAGCCAGTTACCCAGCTAGTTTCGGTGACAATAACTCAGCAGCCACGAACAACAACAACAGAGCTATTCTTGTGGCGAAGAGGCGTCCAGCCGGCAAGCCACGAAACTCGAGGACACAGATTTGATTCTGTGGAGTAGCACGATTGCTTTGTGTGTGTGAGCAAGTGAAGCACTTACACGGGCAAGCCAGCAGAGGGAGGCACACCACAAACTATGTGACATTGCACGGCAAATCAGTCGAAGCCACCGCTTTCAGCGCTCGCGCGTGGCTCTCACGTGGCAACTGCTTCTGCTCTCTGAACGCAGACAGCCGTCACTGCAGTTGCCTTCACGGCTCGCTCGGAGACGCTCGGTTTAGTTGGGGCCTCGTCACCGAAACAACGGTTATGTTATAATTGGGTTTTTTACCCTTCTATCTGGCAACAAAACTGACACCTTTTTTTACAAGGAGTCATGTTTGCATAGACCACAATACCTGCAGCCATAATGCAAAAAAAAACACAATTCTGATAATATATGCACTGTCCTTGAAGTTGATTGGTCCACACCCGAGACAGCTTTCCTTAGAGCCTTGTCTCACCCTGGTGTTGGACCAGATGACGCCAAAAGGCGCACAACTCAAAGACAATGCACCATCAGAGTATGAGAGCTCAGGGTAAGCATTTACACCATTGGAACCTCATTTGCCAGTAAAAAATATGATAATTGTTTTTTTACCCTTCTATCTGGCAACATAACTGACACCTTTTTAACAAGGAGTTATGTTTGCATAGACCACAATACCTGCAGCCATAATGCAAACAAAAAACATAACTCTGATAATATATGCACTGTCCTTGAATGGTTATGTTCGCACGCTGAAACATACACCACTCGGGGTTGCCACCTGTCCGTCGTGTTTTTTAGGTTCGCGTCCCGGAAAATCTGTAGGTCTTGCCAAGTCCCAATTTTTTTTGTCAGTTATGTAATAATATGCTGCTCAAGATAATGCATTTAACCGTGTAGTTTTCCCGCTCCTGGGATTGTTGGAAATTCGTTCATCCATGATATGTGTCCGAGACTGTTGTACCTTAAACCACAATCTCGTCAACTATCACACAAACTCTGGTTAACCATAAAACAAAGACGGCCATCGCATAGCGCGCTTTCAGATGCGCTGTTGAGGCCGTCTGGAACGCTCCTCCTTCAGAAATTAGGAAGCCACTGGAGCTATGCACTTTTAAATCATCCAGATTTTAAACTAATTTCTTTAGAACTGCTTTTTGCGTTTAGTTTGCTGCCCTTCCCCGATTAGCGCGGTTGGCTACGTACGGCGCGAAAGAAGTTCAACATACGTACATACTTCAGAGGTGGAAACCCTTCTGCATACACTCAGCCGATGGGGTATCTATGTATGTTGCGGGTTGCTTGCCAAGGTACCGTGTAGGTCGGGCGTCCAAGGCACACCACCGCTGTGGACTTCCTTCACAGCGGAGTGATGTATCACAGGTCTTTGAAATTCTCCATGCCAGGTGTGCCCAATTAGCGTAATTGGATACATGGCTGCATGGCCCCACTCCAATTACCTCCATTGGCTGCAGCTGGCACTGGGAATTTTAAAGGCCCCCCCCCCAAAAAAAGGCTCCCCTCTCCGCTTGTTCCAAATTGAAGCCCTGGGGGCTCAGGTGAGTGAGTTGTAAGACAACCGATAACAGCGACCCCAAAGGACTGGACCCAACCCCCCCACCTGATGGCCTCGAACTCATCCTCCTTCTCCTGCACGCGGCGGTCGATGTCGGCCTTGACCTGGGCCAGCTCCAGCTGGATGCGCACCACCTTGCCCTCCTCCGACTGCCGTGAGGGGAGAGAGAGAGAGAGACAGCGCGCACGCGGGCGATTTAACCAGACGGCTGGCTGGCTGCTGTGGGCGGCTGGGCCCGCAGGGGACCTCGCGGCAGGCCCTCGACAGACGGCACTTCGGAGCCCCTGTGCAGAATTCGGACTCCCCATTTTTACCCATCCACTGTTCTCCAGACGAGGGGCTCTCTCGGGCCGCCCTCTGTCAGAGGCCCCTCCTGCCAGCGGTGGCGCGAGCGAGGAATTGCAGGTGCCGCCGCCGCCTTCACGGATTCCCTCTGGCCCCCCAAAGCTGTTACAATTGTCGTTTCGTTCTCTCGGCTCTCTCGGTAGGGGAGTCATTCTTCAGAGATTTGGACAAAAGAAAATTGAGTCTGTCCAGACCCATCTGTGCCGAGATGAGTTTTTGTTTGCAGGTGACCGCCTCGTTAGTGATGCTAAGTGGCTTGTTTGATGCAGGATTATCACAGCTTCCTGGTGTTTGAATACGTGCAGCCGCAATCTGCGCCTCGATTTACACTTGCATCCAATTTTGTGTAATTTCCAACAATTCAGCTAAGGCACAGAGACAACTAAATACAGGAAGGGGGGGGGGGTTTGAAAATACCCCACCAATTTCTGAGCCTTTTGATTTCATCTTAACAGCTGGTTGAATACTTAGAAAACAGTGGCTTTGTGTTCTACAGAGGAACAGGGTAGAGAGATGACAGCATGGAAGGAGAGTCACGGATCTGTGGCACGGCACACTACGTCCAGGAGAGATCTGGGCTTGCGCCGCCACAAAGCAAAACATTTAAAGAATGGTTTTGTAAATGCGATGACGCGGAGTTCGATTAAAAGTGTCAAAAAATCAGATCGGCACCTGTGGGAGCTGAGGCGAGCATGTTGTGTGCATAGGTTGCCATGCTTAACAGCCCTCACCCGCAATCTTGCAGCTTCTTTACAATCGTATAATTTCTCCCAAATGTTTTAATTGGAGTATCTATAAATGGATCTCCCTGCGTGATGGAGCAATTAAGGAGGCAATTTAGCATTCAGATTTCGCAGCTGCTCGTAATCCAGGTGCGGTGCTCAGGTTGGGCCACGTGTCGAGCGCTCCCGCTCTTTCAAATTTTCGCCACGCACTTCCTGTGAACATCTCGAGGATTTGAAAGTGTTCAAGATGCAGGCAGCAGCAGCAGCGTGGAAACATCTGAAGAGAGAGAAATGCTAACCGCGTGGCCTAACCCCCGAAGGCCAAACACTTAGGTTTGGAGGCACGTTACACTGCTCACCTCCAGGGCAGCAGAGGAAGAATGTTTTTGATCTACTTGTGCAGCGTTAGTGCACTATTCCCCTTGCTTGCGTGTGTTGCATCCCAATATTCTGGTTCCCTATATATATACTAAACATGAGGAAAAGGTCAAATATCTTTAGCATGGCCCTTTGGATAGGAACTCTTTGAGGCGGTCCGGAGTAAATCGAGAATGGCAGAGCGTCTTGGAGTTTTGCACGGGGCATAAACTTGGATTCTGAGATGGGGAGCCATAAGAAGGCGAGCATGTCTTGAGATGTGGGTATGGCGAAGAAATGAAACAATAAAATTGCATCGAGATAAAGGGAAGTGGTGAAGTTCTGTAGCAGGTTCAGAGGGAGAGAAGCCTTGTTAGAAAAATTTAATAGAAGAAAAAAATACATGGATTGGGCCACATACTCCCGAGGTGCCAGCTCTGTGAAGAAATCTGCAAGGAAGGATTGTTAGATGAAGGCCAAGAGGCAAGTAAAGCACAATTTGGCTTGATTACTTGAAAAGGGCTCATTGCAGTTTAATGAAGTAGAGAAATGTTGGACAGGATGACGTGAATCTGAGCCAAAGACCTGCCATTGGTGAGAGGGCTAAATGAGAGAAAATACACAAAGTAAACATGAATGGTATAACAGATTGCTGCCACTTGTGAAGGCTTTCGCGACCAATATTATACATAACAAAGGAAGACTTCTTCACAATTCTGCCTAATCGCCTGATGAGGCTGGCTGTAATCACCAGCGAATTGTAAATGTTGTGGGATTACTCTCCAACGCATCGGTGTGCTGTACTGGTAACGAATTGCCTCGTTCTGTTTATGTGACAAACCTTACTAATTGGCTGCGTTGGGTGGTGGCGGGTTTAACGACGCGTTTATACTCACGCGGTCTAACCCAAAAAAAAAATACCATCTTCATTACGGAGGGAATTTGCGTTCGTGAACGTCGGTGAGTTTCACCTCCAGGGCTGCTTCCGCCTCTTCCAGGGAGAGCTGCAGTTCTTCCTTCTCCAGTTCCAACTTCTTCTTCACCTTCTGCAGCTCGTGAGCGCTTTTTCCTCCCTCTCCCAGCTGCTCTGTCAGATCGGTGACCTCCTCTGAACGCGTACCGAGAGAAAACAACAACAAACAACAACAAACAACAACAGTAATGCAGAATTCTAATTTCATGTACAAAAAGGCCTTGTTCGACTCAATTTCAAATGTGTTGACAACAATGTGTCGAATGCATTCCAGATTTAAAGATCCGTAATCGATGTTTTTTTTTGGGTTAGATCGCGTAAATATAAATGTGTCGTTAAACCCGCCACCACCCGACACGGCCAATTAGTAGGGTTTGTCACGTGAACAAAACGTTTAAATTCGTTACCAGTTCAGCACCCCGGTGTGTTGGAGAGTAAACCCACAACATTTACAATTTGAGTACCGTGACGTTACGCTAGTAATTACAACGAGCTTCATCAGGCGACAGCTAGAGCTGTGGAGAAATCCTCCTCCTGTTTCGGTCTTAAATACACGGGGGGGGGGGGGGGTTGAATGTGATGTCATCACTGTGAGCTAATCAGGTGCGAAGACCGGAATGGAGGGGGGGGGGGGGTTAATGTATTCATCTAAATTACAATGGACGTATTGATTTTTGTTGTTCACAGTTAATTAACATACATGATATATTTACATCACGCATGCACTTCATGCGTGGACATTACGTATGTACATTGTGGTTGTATTTGCCGGCGAAACGTCGTACTCCAATTGTAAAAGCTGTGGGTTTAATCTCCTACACGCAACCGGTGTGCTGAACTAGTAACGAATTGGCCACGTTCTGTTTACGTGACAAACCTTCCTAATTGGCTGTGTCGGGTGGTGGTGGTGGCGGGTTTAACGGCACATTTATATTTACGCGATCTAACCGACAAAAAAAAAGAATCCCTACTGCATGTTAACATCTCGGGATCGTTACAAAGGTTTTACAATTTGACCTTGAAGGGTCTTGTTCTCTCTCTTGAAGGCCTCCAGCTGTTCGACCGCCTCCTCGTAGCAGGTCCTCAGCTTGAATATCTCGTTGCTGTAGTTCCTGCACTCCTTCTGCGACGAGTCCAGCTCCGACTGGACCTCCTCGTACTTCTGACGCCAGTCCGACAGCTGCTTGTCAAACGAACGCTGTTTCTTGTCCAAGGAAGCTGCAGAGCTATTGGCCTTGACGAATGCAAAAAAAAAGTTTGACATACGAACAACTGCACGCATGACACCAATACAAAACCAAGACCCTGTGCCGATCGTTCGCAAATGAAATTCCAACTGACTTAATGCCACTCCCTTTCATTTATGCGATGAAGTCCGGAACGGATTCCATCCTGGGCGATGTAAGCAAAGATCATGAGGTCATCGTGGCCAAAGCCATTGATGGACACCACGCCTCGATAATAATGCCTTCGACCCATCCGCCAGATCCCGTAGCTGTCGCACGGTAGACACGTGACGCGACGCACACAAACGTGGCAGAAAATAGGCGGAGCGGAAGAAGTGAAAAATGGTGGATATATGCAGCGGAAAACAAGATCAAGAATACAAAAAAGTATTGATCAAAGCAGAAGTTCTGGATAAAGAAAGAGAACCATGGCTGGAATTTCTTCAGCGTCATTCTCGTTAATAATGACCCGACGAAACGGGGCAACGTTGAAAATTGCAAAGTGTGGTTTTATCACCTCCGATTATGTACGGTGCAAAATAAGTTCAACGAACGTAGCAACACATGTCCGATCGCAAAAATGTGGAGGGACCCAGACCTTCTCAAGGTCGAGGGTAAGGTCTTCGAGCTCTCCCTGGAGTTTCTGCTTGGCCTTGTCCAGGCTTGCACACCTCGCTTGGGCGGCTTCCACAGCCTCCTCGGACTCCTGCAGCCGAGCGGCAAGCTTCTTCCTGTTGCCCACATCATGCACCGTGCCAAATTGTACATCGTGTCGAAATCCTCTGTCAATTTGCCAGCCCATTGCTGGATCTCCAACAAGAGCACCATGCAGCAGGCGATATGTTTAAAGACACGAAGCATGTATGTACTCCTCCAGTACTGGATTCATTAATTAAACAAAATGCATACACCCTCTGAGGGAATTTCAACTATTTGGCTTTGATAACCTGCCTGATTTTGTATAGACATTAAAATGGAGGCACTACTGATGTGCCTATTTTAAGAAGTGATTATGTGCTGGTATATGGCATAAACATTTAATTCACATGGCATTTCCTAAAGTGCACGTCTACGTAAAGTGTCCGCAACATTTTTGTAGGTAATCGCTTTTAACATAATACATTTTGAAACGTTTGTCTACGCCATATGCACTCTATTACAACCCGGTATCCTCCACAGTTAAGTCAGACTCAAGCGCGAATGCGCCTTTTAACGGAGCCGTGCGTGGTGGGGGGAGGGGGGAAGAGAGATTTTTATATTTTTAACTCACTTGGTTTCCTCGAGCTCCTCCAGACGGCCGAGCGCATCCGACTCGTACTTGCTGCGCCACTGAGTGAGCTCCCCGTTGAGGCGCGAGATGACGCGGTGGAGCTCGGCTTTGCTCTCCTGTTCCTCCTCCAGCTGCTCGCGGAGGAGGTCGCAGTCGTGCTTGGCGTTGGACATGCCCAGAGACACCATGCCCTTCGCCTGCGTCGCACCCGGAGGTTCAACAGTGAGGATGTAACACGCGGTTGGCTTTTTCGCAGGCAATTATTAGGATTCATTATTGTCTGTATGAGGCCACAGAATGATCCGACTGATCTGTGTCATTTAAGAAGCCTCCCACCAACACGACACAGCCCAAACACATGAACTGCGACACGGTGGGAGCATTTTACGCCCCAAGTTATTATTGTTTTAGCTCACCGGTAAGTTGAAAAACAATCCTCAGAAGCAAATTTAGGAATAAGATATATGGCATTTCGGTTGATATTACATCAAAATCATTAAGCTCCAGAAAGTCACAACAACAATCCAGTGAATCGGAATCAGTGTGTCACCTGACCTGGTTTTCTTAAATATGTCGCATGGCCTAATTGGTACATTTGTTTGTGTGGATTGTTGTTCAACTTAATGGTGAGTTGGAACATTCATAATTGGCCTTTTTCAACGCTTGTACACCACGCAGAAATTAATTTGTGTGACTGTGTTGGGCGGTGGAGTGTTCCTTAATGCAGTGAATTTTGTCAGATTCTTACGTGACCTAACCTCAAAAAAATCTATTATGAATCGCGACTTAAGCGTGTTTGTAATTGAGGTTGGGTGGGTGTGGCTCAGAGGTCAGCTTCGCTGCCACCCCTGAGATCCTGGGCTTGAATCTCAAGCACATAGCCAAGTTGGCGGTTTCAGCTCGGTCACCGATAAGAGCACGCAAGATGATCACGTAAAATTTGGTTCCGCACTTTATTTGGCCGAATTCCAGCTCTGGGGATGAATATGTAGGTTTCACTATCATGCAACAAACACGATTCTCATATGCAGACTATGTAGGAAAATGCTGTCTTCTGATGTGTGAACCAGAGGTTATTTGAAGAGGTTGCCCTGTGATATCTGCTCTATGAAAGATCTCAATGGATATTTAATTTTATTACTTGAAGCCGATAGCATAAGTGGGATAAAATTGTGGAAATCATTAAAAAAACGTGTAATCATGTTCAGTTAAAAAATGTTGTGTCGGACAACCATCACTCGATGTTCTGGACATCTTTGTTGGCTTGTTCATGAATGTATGCTTCACTAATACATTTCTTTGACCTGCACTTCATGTGCAAGCCTCCATTGTTGGATGAGAGCATGGTAGGAAGAAAACACGCCAAAAAAAAAACCTTTCGTCCATTACGAGCACACTACGTTCACTTAATTTCTGAAAGAAAAAAAAACTACATTTGTACAATACCGTAACACCATAACTCTGGCCCCGAAACCTCGAGCCAAAATCGGTCTAATAAAATGGCATCCTGCAACATAATATCATTCTCATCTCGTTCATTTCCATAACCTTTGATTACATTTTCGTTTTGTTACTCGACGGCGCACGCCTTGTCCTTGTGCGATGCCTCTAAAAAGATGCCGTCGTGTATATATATCCGGCATCATGCAAATTTAAAAATCCTATCCTGGAGACGTCCGCAGAGACACGCATTACTTTAATAGGGAGCAATCACCTTAGTTTCTTCATCCAGCGACCTTTTGGTCTCCTCCAGCTGCGAGGACAGCGAGAGCTTGGTGCGGCTCAGCTGAGCGATCTTGTTCTCCCCCTCCTCCAGCCGCCGCAGGTTGTCGCTGTTTTCGGCTGCAGAGAGCGGCGGTGGCAAGTAACGGCGCCGGTGTTGTTACTGCCCCCGCAAAGCGTCGCACCCTCCCCTCCCGGGTAACACGCGCGGTCAAGTGGGTAATCCCGCTCGCGCGCGCACCACGTAATTGCCCGTCAGAAGGCAGCCGGCCCCACCTGCGAGCTTCACTTTGAAGTTGTTGACCTCGTTGAGGGTTTTCTGCAGGTCCTCGCAGTGCGAGCTGGATTCGCTCAGGTGATCTTCCAGCTTGCGGATGTGCATCTCGGCCGACACCTGCGGTGCACGTTCACACATGCAAGATGCGAGTGACCTTAGTAGACTAAAAAGCGATTTTACTATTTTTTTTAAATTTTACTGGGTAAGGCTCACTGAGCTACAGTGAGGGAAAAAAGTATTTGATCCCCTGCTGATTTTGTACGTTTGCCCACTGACAAAGAAATGATCAGTCTATAATTTTAATGGTATGTTTATTTGAACAGTGAGAGACAGAATAACAATAAAAAAATCCAGAAAAACGCATGTCAAAGATGTTATAAATTGATTTGCATTTTAATGAGGGAAATAAGTATTTGAATTATAGACTGATTATTTATTTGTCAGTGAGCAAACGTACAAAATCAGCAGGGGATCAATTACTTTTTTCCCTCACTGTATGTAGCTCGTTTTCAGAAGCGACCTGGCCACAAATGATAGCTCACTGAAGTGGCGTATCACGTAGAAATGTACAGCAGCCAAATACTCTGAACGCACGCTGATTCTACATGTGCAGGGAAAAACCGGAGGACCCGGAGAAAAATCCACACGATCATGGGGAGAACATGCAAACTCCAAATATACAGGCATGGTCAGAGTCGAGATCGAACCCACGATCTCCTGTATACCAGGCGAGGTAGCTAACATCTCGCTACCGTGGCACGCATATGTAATCAATTAATTACAATTGATTACGGTACATATCACCACCGGGTGATGGTGGGTTTAACGACATTTATATTTAGGTGATCTAACCCAAAAACTTATATTATGGAGGAATGGCTAATTTAAAGTTAAAACAATCAAAACTAGTTTAATTTAAGCACACAACGGGTAGTGATACACACTTCGTGCTGCGATGGCTTCAATGACCAAGTTACCTGCAGGACTTCACTTCGACCATCATGAAGCGGTCTATTGCTTTGGGCTGCCACGTAATCGGAGGCCCTCAGGCTGCCACCCCTAAAGCCCCCTGCACTGATCTGGCCCTGCGTACACGTGCGTTGCGTATGCTCATGTACCAAATTTGTGGAAAAATAGTGCGCCTTTTGGCGTCATCTGGTCGAGCACCATATGAGACTAGGCTCTAAAGAAAGCTGTCTCTGGTGTGGACCAATCAGTTTCAAGGACAATGCATAAATTATCAGAGGATTGTTTTTTCTTTGCATTTGACTGCAAGCATTGTGGTTAATGTAAGCATGATTCCTTGCAAAAGGTGTCAGTTTTGTTGCCAAAAAAAGGGGAAAAACCCTATTAGTATATTTTGGTACTGGCAAAGGAGGTCCCATGATGATGCGCCCAATGTTATGCCGTAAGACCCTCCACCACCCGACAGAGCCCGAACAGATTAAATAGTGTCGTGTGCAAGCGTTCAACGTGCCGATTGGTATTGCTTCAGGGAGATGAACAGTTCTCACAAACAAATTTAGAAATCGGCTACGAACTTCACTCGAAACTACTGGCAGTAACATCAAACATAAAATCCAGGGAAGTCAAAACGATGAATACCCCTGTGGCTAACACGCACACACACACGCGTGCGTGCGTGCGTGTGTGTGCGTGCACGCGCTGTGGTGGCTTTACCTTGTACTTCTGAGATGCCTCGAGGCTGGAGGCGAGGTCATCGATCTCCACCTTCATGACCTGCTTGTCCTTCTCCAGCTTGAGCTTCACGCGCTGCAGGCTGTCCAGCTGCTCCGTCATTTCCACCGTGGACTCGGCCTGCCTCTTGCGCAGGGCAGCCATGGTGGCCTCCATCTGCAGGGAGGACTCCTCCATCTCCCGGCGCAGCTTGAGAACCTCCGACTCTCGCTTCTTGTTCTGCTCGATCTGTGCCCACCAAGGGGGGGGGGCGGTGTTGTATGTGTTGTGATTATGAAATTTTGATGAAAATAATAAAAATTAATAATTTTCCGAAAAATGCGCAAATCGCATTAATTATGATAATGTGTGTATTAATACGCATAAATTATGATAATGCGTGTGATTATATGCATAAATTATGATAATCGTAGTAATTTATGCGGAGGCTTGCGATTATGTTAATGTGTGCAGTTATGATAATTTGCTTAGTTTCGTTTATCCAGAGTTATCAATCAGGATAACACGATTATCATAGATTCATTTACCGATTATCCTAGTGTGTGTTATAATATTTTAGGTCTCCATTTTCATATCTCATCGCAGGATACAGCTCTTATGAATAAGATGGTTTTGCATGGACTTGGAAAGAACACTCAATATGCTTCTGTGATAACAATTTTATTCTAACAAGCACGTGACATTCTATCATGCAGGTTAAACATGCGTCAATAATTCATGGGCAAGATTATGCAATTAACTAAATTGAATGACTAAAAATACTTCTTCATTGGCGAAATTATGCAGTTAACGAAAATGACTAAAACATTTCTTATTCATGCAACTCGACGGCAGCAACTGCTTTGCACGATCAGTTGATATTGAACGCACCACCTCGAAATGGCAACCCTTTTGAAACGCAAAGATCACTTTTTGAAAGTCTTATTCGTGTGCGTGCTGTGTGTGCGTTGTCCTCTCGTAATATTAATTGTGTCGTTAGCTTGTGTGGTGTGGGAGGATACGAACAGCTCCTGCTGCTCCCTCGCTCGGCGTGTCGCTCGGCTTTTGCTCTCTCTCTCTCTCTCCACTGCTGGATTGAGCGGCGTTGGCACGATGTTCCTTGAAGAAACTTGCTTGCTTGGCGCTTGATGGTTCCGGGGGCTTGGTGCTGCTCGTGCGCTCTCTCTTTCTACTGCTAGATGACGAGTTGGCACGATGCTGTCCTTGAAGATGCTCGGTCGCTCGTGTCGCTCGGTGTCGCTCGGTGGCGCAAGGTGTCGCTCGTTGTCGCTCGATGGCGCGCGGTGGCGCACGGAGGCGCACGGTGGCGCACGGTGGCGCAAGGTGGCGCACGGTGGCGCAAGGTTGTGCACGGTCAGCGCTCGTTCAGCGATCTCCGCCTTTCCTGCGGGTTGTTCGCTGGTCGTCACTCTGACGAGGAGCGATGCTTCGTTCGTGGCAGGGTGGACGTTGGCGTCTTTGTTGGCTTCACTCGCAGCTCTGCGACTCAGGGTAGCGATTCTTCTCAGGTGGTGCAGACCTCGGCTTGTAGCTACGCGTCGCTACTCCGCAAACCTCGTCATTCTGAATGACAGGAGCTTCTTCGTTGGCGGCGACGAGGAGAGATGGAGCCACAGCCCTGGAGATCTGTGATGGGGGCCAGAGCCCCTGTCGATCTGTGGTGGAGCCGAAGATGGGCTCGTAGCCCGGATGATATGTGTGTTGGAGCCGAAGCCCGGACGATATCTGTGATGGAGGCCAGAGCCCCTGTCGATCTGTGGTGGAGCCGAAGATGGGCTCGTAGCCCGGATGATATGTGTGTTGGAGCCGAAGCCCGGACGATATCTGTGATGGAGGCCAGAGCCCCTGTCGATCTGAGTTGTATGGATTTTCCTTCGGTTTATATCGGAAAATTCCACTCGGCTTCCCGAGTTGTTCAAAAGCTGTGTCATAAAACCTTCCTGTGGGCTGAACCATCTGCGTCCGTGTGTGTGTCCGTCCGTGTGTTTCGCGTGCGTGTTTGTCCGTGTTGTGGGGAGACAAAGGCGGTTGTTTCCACGGTGGGAGCACCCGGCGCATGCGCTTATTTATTCGAAGACGTGTTTATTTCCTTTGAGCCATTGCCCCTTTTATGGGTGTCATTTCCTAGCTTGGTGCCTGTGTGTGGAGATCCTCTCGGAAAGACAAAGGCGGCCGTGTTGCTCGCTTCCCATGGGTGTTGTGTTTGGTTAATTTTGAGAGCCTTCTCCGCCCTTGATTCCTCTTCTACTTTAATTCCGTACTTATTATTTGACTTCTTGTGATTATTTAATCTGATATCCCGGCTTATCTTTGTTCAGAATATAATTATCTCTTACTCCATGGTGCCTGGTTCTGTGGTTTTTTTTTTAACAAAACGATGTCCTGCTGACCCCCCCCCCCCCGCCTGCAATTCCCCCCCTCCCTTGTTCCTCTTGTGTGAATTTAGGGGAGTTTTTATTACCTTATTGCCCCCCCTTTCATGTCCTCTCTCCTTTGAAATGAGGTATGCGCGCATCTGTGGAAGTGTGGGGGCCTCTGTGGAAGTGTGGGGGCGTGTTCGTTCCCACGTGGCCGCGTCTATTAAAAAAAACGATATTATCTATGTTGGCAGAATAATTCTTAAAAAAAAATTAATATTAAAAAAAAATAAAAAGGGGGTACATACACAACAGTCCGCCCTTTTGAAAATTATCAGGGGTCGATTTGGCCACTGGCGAATTTTCAAACAAAGTAATGCCCCCTTTTTTATGTCATGAATCCCATCAGCCGCCCTTACTCTCGGCGGTTATTTCTTACGACGCGCGTGCACGTATTACCATCTTAACCTGGTTACATCTGAAATAAGCAAAGAAAATAACAACACGTTAACATCGATATTGCGTTACATCGGTTCTCATACATCATAACTCCGGCGAATATTCATTTTTGTTTTTGTTAAATCCTGGTTACATTTGAATTAAGCAAAGAAAATAACAACCCGTTAACATCGATATTGCGTTACATCGGTTCTCATACATCATAACTCTGACGAACATTCATTTTTGTTTTGTTAAATCCTGGGAAACGCTAGGTAGCGGTTTCGAACGCATTTATGCGTTACCTTCCTCATGTTGCCTGGTTTACCACTTATCACTTTGATAATTTGATCACGGTTTTCGGGTTCGTTTTTGTAGTTTCCTCTCTCACTCTCTCGCGTCGTGGGAGTGTGTGGTGAAAAATTGTGCTGCACGTAACCAGAATTCGCGCACACGACCCACTTTTGACACTTGGTTCGTGGCATTCGCTCTCTCTGCGATTACATGCACATTTGCCGAGTCAGTGTGTCGATTTAATTCTGTCCTCGTAATGTTGCCCTCTTTGTTTTTACGAGTGTGTTGGATTTCAACACCATTCCCGATACGTCATGGACATTCGTCTCCATTTTAGCACTCCGATCCACATAATTTTTGGTTTCCCTTGGATATTTTCCATTCAAAGGCTCACGCCTGCGCTCCTCAGGGCGTGTCTCTGTGTTCTCTCTTTGTCTCTGCTGTCTGCTATCCACCGTCCGATCACTCTTCCATTCAGCCCTGTCACTTGCAGCCTGCTCAGGGTTTAACACCTCGGCGGGTGGGGCGCGTGTTGGCCGCTCGCTCGCACTCACTGTGGATGGTTCATCACGTATTTGGACCGCATTCTGTGTTATTCCTCTATTCCCTCCTGGTATAGCCGGTGGAGGAATTGGTCGGAATTGGATCGATTGTGTTTGACCTCCCATCCTGCGATTCTCCTGAATGTTCGCATCCATACCTCCGCGGTCTGTGTAACACCTTCCCGCTAGGTGGTTATCTTCCATCTCTGTGCGTAATTTGAACCTTGCGTGTGTCGTGGGATGGGGTGTTGATATGGTTCTGCTCTGAACCTCTCCCTCCTGCGATTCTCGTACATTTTTAGCCCAGTATTTCTCCCATTTGGGTGCCAAATTTTTCCTGGATTGTTACCTCGCCATCTTTGTGGGTAATTTTGATCTTGTGTGTGTCGTGGCATGGGGTGTTGGTATGGTTCTATTCTGAACCTCCCCCTCCTGCGATTCTCCTGAATGTTCGGCTTTGTGCCGCTCTCATTCTCGTGCCAACCTCTCTCTGGGTTATTTTGCCATGTGTGCGTGCGTTTCTGCTCCGTCCTGCATTGTGGGACTGCTCGGTGATTTTTATTCCTCTCTGAGAGGCTGGGTTCCTCATCCCTCTCCCTGTGTTCTGGATCCGAATTATGATTCTTAGCTCTGTATAACCATGCCATGTACGCCTTGCTCTCTATGCGGCGTAAGGATGCGGTTTCTGGATTCAAAACCATTCTCACCCTTTCTGTAATCTCTGGGCTCAAGGATTCAAAAAACATAATTTTGAACATTTTATCTCCTTCGTGGTATTGATTCACATCGCCTGCGTAATACGCTCTTTTAAATTGGACGAGGTAGTCACGTGGATCTTGGTCCATGCCCTGGGTCATCGATTTTACAGCATAAAACCCCTCAGTGAGTGTCGAATATTCTCCAAACTTCCGAATCACTGCCAGGCTCAGTTGTTTAAAATCATTTCTAACCTTGTGTGGTAGTGACTTTACCCATGGAATGGATTCTTTATGTAAGGTCCGTTTCAACAAACTCGCTTTTTCATCCCGTCTCCTCAGCCCTCTAATCATTGCCTCCTCTTCTACGGTTGCGATATGTGTGTGGATATCCATAGTCTTATTGTGGGGGTCAAAATCGGGAATTCTGACTAGAGCCTTGTCCATCAATTTAAGGGTTTTACTGGTGAATAGGTATTCCGAAAGTTGATCGCCGACAGCGTCATCATCAAACAAGTTATCATCAGGCAATCTGTCACTTTGGTCTGTGCTGTGTCGAGCGTGTTGCCATTTCTCTTCAGTTTTTGCCTCTGCCCTTAGTGGAGCATGTCCTGTCGACTTTACTTTAACATTTTTCCTCCCTCTCTCGAATTGTGAGGGTTTCCCTTTGTCAAGGATTTTTTGTTCGACATCCATAATTTTTGTGCGATTAGTCCCTGGACTCTGTCCACGTACCCAAGAGTGTGATTTACTGTTACTTCCATATTTATTCTGCGGATCAACGTCTGTGAGTTTCGCTGGTGTCGCGAGTACTGATTTCTCTCCCGTTTCCTTTCCAAATTTTTCCTCATTCCACAATCCCTGTCTGTATGCCTGTGTGAAAAGGAATGAGTCCTGTCCTG